AGGTCTCCCAGTCCTCTGACATTCTCCAACCAAATAAGCCTAAATATCACCTTTCAATGAAAAGTTTTGTATCCTTCTCCTGCTGGTGGAAAGAAAAGTTCTTGGAGAACCAAGTCATAGAAAAGTCATCTCTGAGTGATTCCATTTTTGTATGTTAAAAAAGCTTTTGGAACTAAGTTAGGTACGGTAACGGCAATGTGAAGCCGGAATAACGTTAATAATAGATCACTTGACAATATGTTATTACTTTAGAAGCACGAAAATACCGCCACCACCAGTGAAATGCCATTTGAAGGCATTTAAAACGAGCAACGTACCACTCTATCGCCCTACAAAAACCTGAATATTTGCAATGTTTGTCTGAGCGACCAAAATCGAAACAATACAGGTAAAAGGTCGGAATAAAGGTCCATTGATTTTTGATGGATTATGTCTTATAATAAGCGAGTTATTAATAATTAGTGATGGGACACACGGTGTCACTATGGAGTAAGACCACTGTTTTGAGGGGAACCCCTAACCTTCGGTCGAAGTCTCTTCGGTTTCTAACCGGTATTCTAGTTTTAATGTTTATCCTGTTATGAAAGTTTTACAACCAGTCAACACTTGCGGTTAATTTCACGTCGAATTTCAATGCCTAATGAGTGTATTATAATCTGTACAGACTGTAGTTTATTCGTGTACTGTGTTAAGCTGGCTAGTGGTTAAAGCGTTTAACTTGACTATGATGGCATCGCAGGTTCAAAAGTCGGGTTGGAATCTTGGTACTCCCGTAGTATGTGTACCAGGTCATGCTATAATCATATTCCGATTTTTCTTATTTTAGTTCTATTACGAGTTCGGGACTGTCTGTGTTAGCCAAGTGAATATACCCCCTGCAAATAGGTTTTAGTCCCTTTACACAACTTGATGTAAAGTAAGCGACTAAAATTTCTGGACCACCCAAATCCTATCACCTCACCCCGTGTATAATAAATTGGGTAGACAATGCGGGGCTGAGGAAAGATTACGGTACTTCCAAACTACAGTAGCTACTAACTTAGCGATGACTGCTTGTTCGGGTCTAAAACCATATAATACGTCGTATTAAAATAAGTATTTTACAGAATGTTCATTTCTAGGCAATTTTGTTAATTTTCACCAAGTTTGTATATATCGCATTGGGGTCAACATTTTGTGATTTGACGTCATAGATCATTTATTTATCCCGCATTCTTTAATTAATATTTGAACGTTGTTTTACCTCTATTCAGTTTACATTTTGGTATTTTAACAGTCTTCATGTTTTTATCTTGGTCTACTACTTCCAGTAAAACTGGTCGTTTCAATCTCTGTCGTCGAGAGTTGGGTTTAGTTTCTCCATTATTTCTTGATTATTGTATTAGTTTTGTCTTAGTAGGGCTCACACTGATATCTAATTATTATAGATAAATATTCTGGCGCAAATTTAAACGCAAGAAATGGATTACTACTAGGACCCGACCGTTAGTTTTATCGGTCAAATCCGTCGGATATTTTCCGTGTGATTGTCAAACCTACAAGATATCAAACTATCTTTCAGCGAACGACGTACCCCTCCCTAATTTCGCAGTAATTACGCGTTTTAAAGAACATACCAATTTTGTTTTATTTCGGACCCTATATTCTTTTCATATCTTGTAGATTTTATTTTTATGATATAAATTATAGATATAATCTATATACTCTAAAGATATAATCTATAGATTTTATTTTCATGATACATAATGCGTAACACATGACTTTTTTCAACATAGCGAGATGTATCGCCGAAAATGCAATATCTGTCGAGCCGTATTTACTACACAGCGACACCGATCTAAGTTTCCTGAAAGTTGGGGAAGAAACGTGTTGATACCTATCTGCTACCACTACAGATAGGTGACTCACACTGGATTAGGCCAGATTCTCTCAGAGTTACATAGTGGTAATTTTAATTCGGTCAATTTCTATTTTAGTGGCATGGCAATTGAACAAAAATTCAGTTGTCCAATGGCTAACCGCTAATTTTCTTGATACTTGAATGAGGGCAATATTCACCAAAACAATAGGGGCATTTACCATAAGCAGAAAATTAAATTCCCAAAAACTTAGATATTTCCGATGATACTGAATAAAAACTCAGCTTCAACAACAAAAACTGCCTCGGACTGGCAAAAATTTGACCTCACTTGCAAATGTGGAACATTAGGAAAAACGACGCCGTCTATTGAACAAGAAACAGCAAACTGCGATTCGACCTGGCCTCATTTCTCTTTAAATACTGCTAGTTGAGCTTTCATGCTATTGAATCTAAAACTCTACCAAGAACAGTAGTTTGTTTTCATTATTGTTTATTTAAAGAAAAAGATTACAGTGTCAACGAGAAAAAATAGTGCGACCAGAAATATAAAAAAATAGGTTCAATGAAAGACTACAGACTTTCCAACCAATAACCAACCAATAAATCATAATCTGACCCCACAACTTCCGGTTTATATCCGGGTTGGTAACCAATAGGTGAGACTGAATTTACAATGTAATAATTCCACCACCCCATTTCTTTTCATTTATACCTAAAACTGGATCACAAGCATACGAGGTAATTGAACAAAAATTTAAGTGAAACTGTCTCAACAGTTGAAATATTTCTGCATTACATTTAATCATCTGAGTTAATTTATCCGAGGATATATCGGTCGACTGTATAATATATCGAACCAGTGCGTTTTTTCTGTTTACCAGTGCAACTTGGTAATATAGAGATAGGAATCATATCAAAATAATGCATGGCATTGGATCATTCATCGGTTCGTTCACAACTAATCACGTAAATTCGCCCATGTTATATAATAGTATCTAGAAATGTTTTAAAAATCATGGAACACGATAGATCAGGCCAGTTGTTTCAACCATTCCGCAATACAATGGTGCTTAAAGTGCTATTCCAGGCACTTAATAAGTTGGAATACGTATATAGGAAACAGAGACGTGAGTACAATAAATAACATAGTTAAACGAATATGCCATCTTTACGTGTATGAGAAAATGTTATGGGTCCTGCCCTTAACAATGGTAATTGACCTTTTTGTGCGACTCTTTCCCAGCACTGCTGGAGAGCCTCGGAGTTCCCCCAGTCGGAATCTGAGTCAGAGTCACTAGAGGTTATACTGTCATATAAATATCCATCGTCGAATTTTCGACTTGCTCTCGCTAGTATCTTCCTTTTGGACTCTCTGTTCAGATACGAATGACTGAATGAACTTTGACTCGATTTCCTAGATGACGGTGTGTCCTTTTTGACGTCACTATTGGAAGTCATTGTGACGTGTTCGCTCGCAGCTTCGTTTCCGGAAGAATATCCTTCCGATTTTTCAGACCGGTGATTTTTCTTGTAACGCTTGTGTTGCTTTTGTTTCTGTGCAAGGTATTTAGCATGAATTGCATCGTACCTTCGCAAGTAGTGTTTGTGACGTGGCGTCAATGGCGGGAAAAGTTCACACGTGATAGAATCCATACTGGTGGTGGCATTGTCGTACTCGTCAGAATCTGAGCCGCTCGTGTATTCTTCGTGCGATGCGTTAACGTCATCAAATCGCTTGAAACCAGTTTGTGACGTCACTGTGACATCATCAAACCCGGAACACGGCATTTTTCCTTTACTGTTGACGACAGAAAAAGCTGAATTCGAGCTTGGAACGTCTGTATCTGCATTGCTTGATGTCCCCTCGCCGGACTTTACGCTGTTGAGATTTTTATGGTGGAGATTGTTATTTGAAACTTTTGTTTCGTCATTTCTACCCAATGATGATGTCATGTCGGTGCCAGATGACGGAGACCGCGAACTAGCTGACGTAGAAAAGTATTTGAAATCGCTGCTTTTAGTTTGTTTCGGATTTTCACTCAATTTGTTTAATTCAACGCCCTTCTCTGGAGACTCCAACAATTTTGGAGTCGATTGGAACGGTACAGTTTTAATAACCGGAACACGCGTATTGTCTCCGTGAATATATTTTCTTGGTTCTGTAACCGGATATCCGGTTATTGCAGCAATTGTGCCATTTGATCCTTGATTGAGAACCGTAGCTTTATATCTTAAATATCCGGTACCTCTTGTGTAATAATCCCAACTATTTCTACCTAAAATTGGCAAGACGGGTCTTGGTACGTGTGTTATTTGAGGCTTATACAGAGAGGACATATTTGTAGGAAGATGCGATAAATCTCCCGGTACTCTTTGTGTTGGGGCACTGGTAAATGAAACATGTCTGCTTTGTTTGATAGTTTCATGCACCAACACATTATGGACAGGTACGTCGGGATCTTTTTGTTCTGGTAAATTATTCTTCTTTTCAACAACTTTCTTTGGAATAGTTTCTGTGGTACTTTTTCCCGTTATTTCAATTTTCGTCGGCTGCGCGACTTCTTCTGATGGCATCGACGCAGTTGATGACGTAGCACTTACACTGACGTCATCAGATTTTATGTTCACACCTTGATGTTTCATAATCAAAGCCTTTGTGACTTTATGGGCCAGTTCTCTTGCTAAACTTTCTTTTCGTTTGGGTGGTTTGTGATCTGATGACGTCATGTCACCTGTGCTTTCTGTATAAATGGATCTAATTGCGTCATCTGAAGCACATGTGTTCATTTCATTCTCTGATGATGTCATCATGAGAGTTCAAATAATTTTAGCTTTAGTGATTCGAGTTGCTCCAGAACGGTTTTGTAGCGGTCTTTGTTTCTGTGGAATATGAAGAGATGTAAAAATTTATTTTTGTGACGTTTTTAATTGAGAATATTGAAAATTAAAACTCGCAATTATGGCCACTTTTTGCATGTAATACCTATTTTGATAATAGTAATGAATAAGCCAAATATTGTCAAAAACATCGCCTGAAACAAGACTCAACTGAAATGTTCAACACATTAGTCGCAAGTTGTGTTCAAAACTCATACACGTCACGTTCTCAGTCTAGCGTTAATTTTATAAATAAAACCATTGATTAAATTTTAGATTATACCTCTGCCATTTCTTTTCTTAATGATGCGTTCTGAATTGCAAGATCTCTTATTTCGTCTTCGCTGAACTCAGGCTGTTTAGGAGTTGTATATTGAGAGAAACTTCTTGTGAGAACTTCATCCTTGCTGTGACGACGAATTAGAATCAACTGCAAATGGAAAAGACAGAATATTTATTCCATTTGAAGTATTAACCCGTATGGGAATGCTTGCCAACGTAATGCCGTGGATTTTCAGGCTCAAATTCTCGCGACAGAAGAGCAGTTTTCTGTGCCAAAGGATTGACCGCTAGATGATAGTTCATTACACCAATGTTCATTCTTATCCATAAATCTGCTATATACCCATTCTCCGCTGGTATATGGATATGAGACGAGGTTTGCCTTATGTTTGAAACTTCTCATTTACTTCCTAAATGAAAAACAGTAGTCTAGATGAATTGCAATACTTGCTTACCTTTGGTACAAAATGTAAGAACATGACCGTGAACAAAGGAACGAATATAGCTGATGACATGACAATATATTGAGGGTTCGGCCATCTTTGCAATGACGTCACGAGAGGTGTTGCTATGCAGAATGACGTTAGTGTGGCAAAAACTGAAATTATCAATCCACCAGCGTCTTTCATTGAAGGCAAAGTGACGTAACGCGTTGCCCAGGCAACGTAAAGGATATAATAAAGAAGAGCACCCTGCAACGAAATATCGAAAAATTAAGTTAATCTCGGAAATTGATATTTTTTAAAAATAGATTTTTAAAAATATTACTGGAACTCACTTTATATGACATCAGTATTATAATCCACAGTGGGGTGTATTTTGAGGCACAAGTAAATCCATGCTCCAATGACGTCATAACTGTTGATGACGTAGGCAATTCTTCAGATACATCATTAACCGGTGAAACAGGAAAGAACCCTGAAAAAATTATGATGATAATCAACATAGAAAGTAACACGTTACATTTTTTGCGTTGAATATTGCTTAGACATGAATGCTCGCTGGTTTGAAGTTAAATAAGCATTTATAGGTAGCCATGGTTGGATACGCGAAATAGTAGGGAGCTTAAACTAACGTATCTAGCAGACCACACTATTTTGTTAAAATATAAACAGTAGATATAGGTTTGTAGATGGCTTACCAGGTAATTGTGAGGTAGGGATGACGTAACACTTAGGTGGATCAATTCCGAACCAAAGCGCCAAATATCCGAAATCAAATATTACGAAAAGAGCAACAATGCAAAGTAGACGATCATCTTTTATTACCTGAAAGTTGAAATGAAAAATTTTATTGAAACCTATTTTATCTATACTCTTGTGTCAAACAATATTTTGTTGTGTGTGATTAATTAAAGTTTCCGAAAAACGTATGATTAAATGCAATATCAAAACAAATGGAATTTTTGGGTTTGGGTAACTGTTACTGCCAATTGGAAAAATATTTTTCGAATCATTTTTCCGATCATTGGGAAATAAGGCTTTGAAAAAGAAAGTGGCAACTTAATTCACTGTGTTGCTTACCCTTCCTTTCACAGCAGCATCAGTGAATATCCTGTGAACCCTCCATGTCTTTGTTGCCAATGGAGCAAAGAACAGCGTGAATCCAACACTCGCTGTCCAAATACCCGCATGGTTGATTTGCCAGACAATGTCTAAAAGCTGAATAAATAATAGTAAGGTTACAAAAGTGAATTTTTGTACTCGAATGGATATTTCATACTTCAGTCAGAATGGGACTTTAAACGAGTAGAATATGACCCTACTTGAAATAATACATACCTATCACGGCCTATCTAATTTACCAATGCTTGATAGCCAGTGGAGTATTCAAATCTTAGATATATATCCTGCGACGTTAACATAGTTATGTCCATGATTCCAAACCACCGACATCTCAAAAACACCCTGCGTTTATTCTACATTAGTGATTTTCAAATTTAGGAAAATGGCGACGCACAAAATTAATCATTCTATTAATCATTCTAATGATGAGGCCGCTCAAGTTGGGCAATCCCCAACATAAAATTTCACAATTTATCTGTAAATTATGTGCAGTATGGTGTTTATTTTGTCAAATAATTCTAGCTACTGTTTTTGTTTTACACCAAAATAATTGTTTTGTTTTCTTACCTCTTGATGTGGAGATTCTGGTAACCACGCAGTGGAGCCAAAGAGCACTGTAGATACGCAGAGTAGTAATGCACCGCAAAGCATTACCAGATTTAAGTTTGGACTCGTCATTTTTAGCAATCTAAAAACATTATTTACATTTTTAAATTATAATTATACAAAATTCGTTTAATAAACAACGAGAAGTACATCTGTTAATAAGGTTTAACAGAAAGGGGTTATGTTATATTCAAGTTGAAACTCGGCGCAAATAAACAGATATATGTGAAATAAAAAAATTGGGTCCATAGTCATTTTACCATAAATTTTTCTAATATGAATTCTCACCACTAAGAAGTGCCAACATCTTTCAATAATGTGCATATATAATGTTTCGATGAAACAAATATCAAATAAGCAGTCTGGTGCAAAGCGGCTTCTTAAATTCAAAGCTAACGGCCACACTAATCCAAGGTCTCAGCGCTAGTATAGATAACAAACTTGACTTACTTGTACCCCCTGTATTTAATATTCACAGCAATGAACACTGACGTCATCACCACTCCGATTCCAGCTATTATAGCAACAGGGATGAAAGCAACAGGCTCAACATGGACAATATATCCTCCATCGGGCAAGTTTTCCATGGTGCTCTGTCTAAAAAAAAATTTGTTAAATTACATACTTGATTTGCTTCAATAAAACAATTATTTCAACATATAATCATACTTGATTTCCGAAGATTTATTACATACAAAATATGTTAGTGTGTGTACCAGGTTAGGGTTAGGCCATAATTTTATTTCGATTTTCCTTATTTTAGTTCTATTACGAGTTCAGGGACTGTCTGTGTTAGCGAAATTAATATACCCCCTGTAAGTTACTTAAACAACCTAAAAGATTGTGACCTTTTAAGACACGGTTTGTTTCAATAACTGCTATCACCAGACTTGGAAATTCGGGGTATTTACTTGTGAACCCAATATGTTTTTCATTAGCGTAATATATTTTTAGTATATTGTTGAGCAATATATTGTTGAAATCCTTTTTTGTATATAATATATTCCTAATTTCTGTTGATTGAAGAAAGGTGTGAAATAACATGATACGAAACGTGTTCGTCACTTTTATATAAGGTTGTCGTTGGATACTTTAATAATAATAAATAAGCCAGGCGTGCCTTGGCAAAATTTCATATTCTAGGTACTTCTTTCGTCCATCAACATAGATGAACAAAATAAAACTTTAAAAGAGCAATCATAACATTCTAAATTTTAAAATCCGTTATATAAATATTATTTCTTCTTTTCAATAAATCATCATTGACGCGAACGAAACGATATCTATTATGACGAATATCATTATTACAAAACAATAGCAAAATTGACTATTGTTATGAAACAAAAACACAATTATTATTATGTTTTTCCAAAATATTTTCCTAGTTATAATAGAATGAGAGCGATATATGATTATCTTTCAATTAGTAACTCGAAGATCGTGACCCTCTGTAGTCAAAAATTAAATTTATTTTCGAAGACAACATCAGAGGTTCAAAGTGATGTACATAATTGATACATATTATAGATCCTTGAAATTTAGAATGTATCAATGACCTTCAGCTATTAGAGACAATTTCTGCACCGATTATGGTAAATCATATACATTAATTATGTGAACTTTGCGTTGACGTAAAGACCTATTTTGTCGTAATTCAAGGTTTGCCGAAATGTCGGCGCAAACAAGATATATTTCATATTTTAGTTTTTTTGCGGGCAATGTCGATTTGAAACGGCTATTTATCAGAAAGAAATTTATCAATTTCAATTATACTAGGAATTAATAATATTCTGGATATCTAGGTTTTATACATATATATATATATAATATACATGTACTTATTATGAAAACTTGGAATTATACATCAAATTTGGCACCCCTTCCGTAGAATCAATATTTGAATTAGCGCAGATGATACGAGCCCGAACATTAAGCATAACATCACATAATAGTAATTTGTTACTCAGACATTTATCTGGATTGGTGTAATTTACGCTTTACGATATTATCGTATCAGTGTCATCCTGAATTTCAAACCAGTCTGTCAATAAATAATAGGTACACAACCAAGGATGGCACATTGTTACTGAATGCTGTCAAAACTAGGCCCATTTATGACCAATGATCAGAAAATATCTTTTCACTGGCAAATGACTGAAGCATATGAAACTTTGTCTGCTGAAAACTCGAATTTCATATCGAAATTACTGAAAATATATTCTGTGATAGTGGACGTAATTCTATCAAATTGAACGCAAGACTATCTCGCGAAACCGATATGTTTTGAATGTAATAAGACACGTAATATTAACTGGCGTTTAGTCATTGATTGGAGTTGCGTGTACATAGAGGAGTTGCAAGTTACTACATCAACACGGGGTAGGCGTGATGGGTGATGGCCGAGTGCAGCGGTTACCAAATTTTTAGTTTACGGCGCCAAATTATAAGGAAAAAACTGGAGAGTTTAAAAAATATGTTTATCAGTATACTTATATGATAATTGATAACCACAATAATAAGTACACCCTTTTTTCTTCTTTGTGTTATTGGATTCGTATGCAATATCTACAAGGATAGTACAGCAAGAATTGAAAATGCAACATGAAATGTTTCAAAATTTCTCTAAATTTTGAAGTTCGGTCTGAACCCTATATAGAGAGTTACATGTTGTTTCAATCGACTAGCTAATTTCACGTTTGTTTTGAAAGCTTTAATTACCGTGTCCATTTAACGGTAATTTTCTTTGAAAACCGCAATTTGTGTCGTCATAATCGTGGAGGCGTGCCGTTATTGTATATTGTGACGTGCTTTACTGCCTTTATTGAGTCATAAATGTGATAGATAATTGAATTGTCTGCAGGTGAAAAGTTCTAACCAGTTGAATCGCTTGTTCACAATTATACGGTGTTATTTGGGCAAATCGTCATTTAAATTTTACGCCAAGCGGCCTCAAAGCTATTTTATGGAATACGATTTCCGACTCTATCGATTCAACATCGTTTATGCACCTTGCGACAGGTTGTTTATATCACTTAAATTGGCCACCTGTGGAAATTAATCTGAGTGGGATATTGAACCGTGACAAGTCAAAATTTTTCACCTAAATGGTTATATCAAGGATCGTTTTCCAATGAAGCGATAAAATTTCAAAAACCCGTTTCCTCGATGTTTCGAGTCGAAAAGTTATATCCGAATCTGTCTGGGTGGTAAAACATTTAGTTAGTGCCAACGAGCATAAATTTTGGTCTGATTTTATTGTGTGAGCAGGTAATTGTGGCTTACTAATCTTACTTTGTGGCCACCTCGTAGGCTATACATATATTGGGTAAGTTTAAAATAAAGATATTTATAATAGGTATAATGTAGTGAATTATAAAATAATGCACTTTTCATAACACTTCTTATAAGCCATCAAACGTGTTCGCTCTGCAGAAAGCTCTAAGCAAGCAATCACAGACACGTAACAAAGGTAATAGGCTTTATAAAATGATCGAATCTTTTTTTTGAGCGCCAAGATCTTAATACACTTCTGCTAATGGGTATATCTTGACTATATCTATATTGACTTCACTTGAGGCAATGGCGTGAACATAAAATACAAAAATAGCTGTACGCATTTCGTTTTCATTCTATTATTTCATACTCTGTGAGTCAAGACACCTTGGATACGTTTTCCGTCTCCTTTGAAGTTCATTGGACCAGAATTGTGAAAATAAAAACCATAAAGTGTCGAGTGATTATTCCCTCACCTGCTAGTTTAGGTTCTTCTCGGTACTCCGGTTTTGAATGGTTGCTTTTAATTCAAATCAAAACAATCCTTTTATGATGTATCCGATACGTAACAATGCACAACAATCGTTCCACGTTCTCTTTTTTATTATTATTATTCAATTTTCTTCATTTTTTGTGACGTCAAAATGTTAGAAATATTTCCCGCTGCACGCGATCCTTTTATATATTCGCATTCATATGTTGTTTTATATTAACATAAACTGAACGTAAATAAAAAAAAATATCAGATTTCAGATTCACTTGGCAAGCATTGTGAATATGCAACCTCGTTTTGAGAGTAGATGAAACAACGGTAAACAAATGTGTTTTCAATCTGATCATAAACACACAAAACAAACCGGTTGTTTTTCAACTGGGAAATAGAACTCAGAAATTGACCCGACTTGACGTAAAATGTAAATACGGAATCTGTCATTATCAATCTTAACCTATTAAAACATGTTTGCAATCTGCTATCAAAATATCCGTCTCTCCACATGACTAAAGAATCTAATGCTGAATGTTTCAACCTCGAAATTCCTCATTTTTTTCGCGATATTTTCACTTCAAAATGGGCTTCATACAAGCTTACATAAATAGCTACTATAAATATATTTATGTTGGTGGGAAGGAGGGTATCTTGCTATGCATGACGTTACCGATACAAATTTCAACTTTCAAACTCAATCGCAACCTTCCTATCTGTTAGGTTTACACGATACTAACTAACAATTCATTCTGTCAACGTTTGCGTGAGAAACAGGAATACGTTAACAAGACTAAAGGTTATTATAAAAAGCTACTAAGATTCCTGCTGCATATAAACTATAATTCATTTTTAAAATGAACGCCCTTCACTTCCTCATTACGAAATCGCGCTTGCATAATTAATATGTCTAATTATTCGCTGCAAGAAAAAATCGTAAACTCAACTAAATTTTCAATGTAACTCAAAACATTTTGAATCATTATTCTAACCTTGTCAAATTAACAATATAAAGAGATATCGAAAACCATGCTTACACACTAGGAATATGTAAAGCGCACATCATCATCTCCGATCCTAATATTTACATTTAAATTCTAGATATTTTCCTGTTTGTTTAACACTCTTATTATAATGACCGTATTGGTTTTAATATAATGCATTCTCGCCCAGTAGTTAATTGCTTTTCGTTTCCTTTGTTTGCGATCAAATCGTATTGAACGATACCTGCTGTCTAATTACCTAAACAATCCCGAATAAACTCATTTACCTATAGTGTTATGCAATCGACATTATATAAAGTATGTGTTGAACATTCCATTCTCTTGACTATCTAATCCAGTATTATATATAATATCTCATGTATATTTATTATGTATACATATAGTGGGAGCCAAAAACAAGACCAATATATATTTTGATTACTTCTAGGAAAATGGAGAAAATTTATGCAACACTTGAACTTCTGTTTGTGTATGATTATCATACCAAGCAAATTTCAGTAAGCTAGTTATGTTATTTTTAAAATATGTTCCAAATGACGTGGGTAGTCTGTTTCTGGGTGACTCTGTATTCAAAGAAACTAAAATAAATACACTGAGAACCCTAAACCCAGATATCGATACATCTCAACAACCTAAAAATTCCACTTTGCCTATCATAATATAATTCATAGTCATTTCTCCGCGGCTTAAAATCAACCAATTTGGCTGTTCTGATTTCTTAATCCTCGAATTTTCATTCTCAACAGTATGCATTACTTTCTCCAAACTTTATGCAAGCTATTTTGGAAGGCTACACTCGTAACATCAAAGGCATAACTCTGTTATCCAGTCATTAGTGTTGTTAACGTAGCCGAGGAAGCTCACTGTATCCGACTGGTTATATCTAATGCGCAATACAGTCTCATTTAATTACATTTGGTCATCAATATAAATAAATATACCTGCACTCATTGCTACTCTATTTCATATTTGAACAGTTGATATAAGTTAATCTTTATATATATTAAAACCAAGTCTTAAGCTTGGTAAAATCAATTTATATCTGTTCTACACCACATGTGGCTGGCAACTCTCTTGGGTGCGTTTATATTTCTCCTTGACTCCCGTGGAACCTTATATATATTATTCACCGTGTATCCTTTCCACGAACTTACGCGCTACAGAACCGTATCTAATATAATTAAAGTCATTAGTATACGGCTTACAATGCACAGAGCCTTTCCATTTCTAGTTAACCCTAACGCGTACGATAATACCGATAGTTAAACGCCCTAGACATTATTGACATAGCGTCTAATTGGGTACTAGTTCCCGAAAGTGTTCTTATCTTGTCTTATCTCCCACAGTTTTTGGAAATTATCACACAAATAGCGTAATGGGTTTCCAATGTAAATAAAACCAGGATAATTGAGTTTGCGTCTATTTTCAGCTCACGACAATTTTATTTATTAAACTCCGTGACAATGACTTGATAAAAATAGAAGATTTTTTATAATTTTCTCGCAAAATCTCTAGATTCTTATCTCAACTTAACAATAATATTTGCAAAACCTGAAGTTTGCATGCATTGCATACAGTCGTTAGGCATTCTAGCATTGAAGTACACGACTATTTTCTCAGTGAACGCAGTGAAAAAGAGCTATAGTCGTTCAATCCAATTGTAAACACCATGAAAAATATAGCACATTCTTTATTGTTCATTAATCCGTACATTTTGTTTTTATTCTTCATATATCGATATTATGAAACTATCGACTATTATTTGACGAATATTCGAGAAAAAACGACTTTTGATTCCATTCCTCGACGCGATGTGTGATAACGTCATGATGAAGTAGTGACTATTAAATATCAGTTGCCACACGGACCCGATGAATTATAACATTCCACACAGCAGCATTTCATAATGACACTCAGGGAGTTAATTACGTGCAATAAATGCCAATTTTTGCCAAGGAATGTGTCATTAAAACCTCAAAAAAAACTTAGAAATTATTTGTAAACACAACGAATTGTTCCCAATATCTAGCAGATTTAATTATTGAACTTCAGAAAAATTAGCCCCCAAAGGTAGATTGACAATTTTACTTTTCGTATATATGTGGAATCTGAGCCGAATGGAAATAACATCGAGCTAGAAATTATCTTTCGAACCGAATCAAGCTCAGAAATGCAAATTCACTTAAATAATTTTCATCATTATCCTGTGTGATCTATTCTTTAAGATTGTTGTACCAATATGGAGGTAACTAATTTTGTTCGCCTACTTTACATCAAGTTGTGTAAAGGGACGGAAACCTATGGCAGGGGGTATATTCACTTGGATAGACAGTCCCCGAACTAGCAATAGAATTAAAATAAGAAAAATAGATAGTCACCTATGGATGGGTATTTGTTTTTTTGAGTGAGTGCGCGTGACCTTGTTTTGAATAAATTGTCTTTGACTAATAATTTAAAGAACATGACAATATACATTCTTGTCTTGAGATAAGATCGCGTCCTCAAATTCAAACTGTCTGTCATTTTTAAGTCGCTTATTACGTCTTGACGTAAATAGGCGTAATTTATTTACACATTGTGTGGTATGAAATATGCTTGCTACTCCAATATGAAATGATACAAACTTGTACTGATCTAAATATCGCGCCAACCAGCATTTGCTGACAAGTAATGCACAACCACAAGTCTACGTAGTTTGAGTAGTTATTAGCATTTCAGTGGTGCCCGAAACTTTGCTCGAAAATCCTATTTACTACATGTTTGAACTGTCTTTAACTTTGGTGAATAACTCAGCCAAATACCGCTGGCATTTCTAATACTGTGTTGCCACAATATAAATCTTTGTTTACAATTTGAGTATTCTAGCAATTAAAGGCCGTGGGGATTTGATTTAATAGACGGGTTTGGAAGCGTATAAATCTGGCAACGTTCGTTTCAAACTTCCATATTAGAACCAGAGATAAATACCACATAATTAACGTTGAACATCGCTATTCCACGTTTGTCAATAGTTTCAGCTGAGATAATTCGAATGCTTTGGAATTCACGGGTCATAATTACACTTTGACACCCGCATATTATAACGCAATAATATTGTTTAATTGGGTTTCGGAATGAAGAATAATCTACGACTCAATGCGGTTTTTAATGACGTAGTTATTTTGAAATCGGAAGTGACGAAGTTTATTTCTAATATGTAGCTGTACGAGGTGTTGCGTAACAATAAAGATAGATGGAGAACAATAGAAAATGATTTTATTTTTTAAGGAGCCGGAGCCAAAAATGCATGACTGCAAAAGTCGCCCCAAACATGGAACAATGTCTTTTTTCGATAACTGAAATTTAACAAAACGCTGAAATAAAGTAAAACTATTTTGAAAACGATTGCAAAGTATCATGTCAGGTATATTCTTAATACTAATCAAGATACCCCAAATCTCAAATTGTTTTGTTTTTTGAGATCGTTTACTCATCAAATCCGCATTAAAGAAAAAACAAAATTGCTTTGCTCTTGACATTCTCGGTTATTGTGGCCTCAGCAAAATTCCGAAAATCACGTATAGAAAATTTTCACATAAATCCCCAAAGTCAGTATTTTCAAACAAATGCCTATATTCTTCACTTCCTTGTATAGCACAGATGGCTCATGACTTATTGTGAATACAAACTGTAAAATTCTTTGCTATCACACAAATTATTACCGGTCATTCTTAATATTTTTTTGTCAATTTACTATTCTCGCCACACTAGCTAAATATAACATATAGTAACTGATATAAGCTTCTGAAGCAAATATCCACAGAAGACGAAATTGCACAAATTTCACCTTCCGCGTTCACCGACTCGTCTCTTGTCCTATGCTATATTTGGAATAAATTGAACCCTAACTTGTCTCATTTTGTCGTCAGCACTGTCAATAATTAAAAAAAATTTCAAGATTATATAAAAAAAAATACTAATTTCTGGTTGGCATAACTGAATTCCTGTAAATAGCTTCTCAATTCCATTAATTTCAAATGTTGTTTAAGTTTATCTAACACATACACATTTCACAAAGAATGATCGCGTTTCGGCAAGGATTTTGGGAAATAGCAAGTATTGCCCTGAGGGGTCAGGGAACTTGTTCTGGACGAATCAAGTAATAACGTTGCAGAGGTTTATTATGGGCAGTAAATACACTGTTAGAAAAAAACTGTAATAATACCTAGAATTTATATATCCATCAGGATTTTCTGTTATATC